GAAGAGACGGCTACATTTAACAGTTTCGACAGTGAAAGGGTGAGAGCGATATGCCAGCCTAGTTGAATGCTTAAATTCATGAAATCTGGGAACCATCGAAAGCAGCTCATCGGAACAGTTACCATGAAGGTATTTGTAAAAAAAGACAGAGGGAGGCGACGGCACGTCTGTGAGAGAGCGACTGCAGACGAGATGCCAGATCAAGGCCAGTTACATTGCATACCCTCTCTGTATTTTATCAAGGACCGTGAGACAAACAGAAGGGGGCTCCAGACCATATATAGCAGCAATACTCCATGCAAGGGCGAATGGTTGTATTTACCCTCTTTTAACTCTTTACGGTGTTCTTGCAGTCTTATCTTAACCCTTTCAGCCCAGACCTTCTCTTTACTGGTGGTAGAGAAAATGCCCAGCCACCGGTTGAACAGTGTTAGAGAAAAATGACAATCCCCACTCACCGGTTGAACAGTGTTAGAGAAAATGTCTTAATGCCCAGCCACCGGCTGAACTGTGGATAAACACTTGTACTATTTTTATATCTACCATGAAACAACGCATACCAATTATTTGCTAAGGAGCTCAGACAGAAGAGTTAAAATTGTTCAGGAACGCATGGCTCAAAAGTTTAAGCGAGCAACCAGTGCCTCCTTTATAATTACTTGCCACAGCTGCACAGGATGTCGTACACACAGTCCTTAATCATGTTCTTCTGTATGGGGGATCTTACTTGGAAGAGATATCTCTGTAGTTTGTTTTTTTGTGTTTCTATTCTAAAAGATGTCACACACGTAACATTATTGCTTCGATGCTGCACCTGTGTCACTAAAGGGAGACAAAAGTAAACAGCATCTATGCGTAAAGATCGCCATGTTGGTTTAAGCAGTGGACCAAACAGGCTTTAAACATAAATTTCGTTCCTCATCATTGAAAATTAAAAATATAAATATTTCTGTGCTATATTTTTTTTTTTACTTTTGCTCTAAACCATTTTATTTTAACCAGTTCTATTTTTATTTTTGTTATTTAAAACCATATTCAAAAAAAATAACAAGAGGAAAAATGTTTCTGCAAATAATCAGAATATTCAAGTTAGCAGCACTTTAAGAAAATGGCGAATGTTGCCATTCTTTCGCTAATCCATTGTTTCTCTTTTTCCCCGATTCACCTTGCCCTTACCGGATTTGTTCACAGCGTCCTAAATATGGAAATAGTGAACCGCTGTTTATTTAATGCAAAATAACGATCAAGATTCGGTTAAACAAATGCAAGTAAAAAAACGTGTATATACATCCCCCCTCTAAAAGTATTGGAATGACAAGGCCAGTTCCTTTGTTTTTGTTGTTTTATTGAAGACGTTTCGGTAAAATTATGAATATGAGACAAGAGATCCGAATCGATGTTGCGAGTTTGACATCTTTTAGAATAGAAACAAAAAAAAACACACAGAATTCTCTTCTAAGTAAGATCCCCCATAGAGAAGAATAGGATTAAGGACTGTGTGTACGACATCCCGTGCAGTTGTGGCAAGTAATTATAAAGGAGGAACTCGTCATCCCCGAATTTCAGCTTTTATTGCGTGGTATTTAAATTTAAATGAGTTCAGCAGCTTCGGACATTCCACCTTTTGTATCATATCATCCTATTTTTCAGTGAGCAAAAGTAAAGAAAAAAATAGACTTAAAGTAACATTTACCATTTGGTTGCATAATCTTTGCTTGCAATAACTGCATCCAGCCTGCGATCCATTGGCTTCAACAAACTGTTGTATTCATCATTTGTGATGCTTTTCCAGATTTTAACGCTTATATATATATATATATATATATATATATATATATATATATATATATATATATTATTCATACGCAGACAGAGAGTTTCGCTGTATCACAGTTCTTCAGTGTGGCTAGACGTCAGATTGCTTCAAGCCGGGGTTGAAACCCAACCATTTTGGCATCAGTAAGAGATTCTACTCCTATCATCGCACGGCAGAGAAAAAGGGAAATTTTAACGTTTCCTATTCGAAATAGGCCAGTGGCGCGGAGAAGTCTATTTAATTCGGTTGAAGGGCAATGCTTTATATATTTTTGATATATATTTTATTTTATATGCTCAGTGGGAAAACCCTCAATATCAGTAATAGAGCTAATATATTTAGTTGTGTGGATATGAATTTGTCTGATGATCGCAAAAGCGTAAAACGAAGGGTCACAAACTCATAGCCCTACAACTGAATACAAACAAACACACACACACACACACACACATATATATATATATATATATATATATATATATATATATATATATATATATATATATATATACAGGAATTAACAATAATGGACCCGAGTTCAAATCCAAGCGTTCACCTCATAAAAGGCCTGAATTCCTGTGTAGAAAGTGAGTAATTTGGCTCTAAAGTGGGTGACTGATTTGCAATCCAGAGATATTTACATCGTCATGTTAAAGATCGTCAGTCGCAAAACTTATACAAGGTCCACTACTTACATTACACATGAATTGTAAATCGTTTATGTATTCACTTTGGCGAGCTTGCAATAACACGATTAAATATTCATCTTCTTTACCATATTAAAAGAACTCCAGTGACAGAAATTCCCATCATAGGAAGTTAATGGTTTTTAATCACTTCTGGGGACGTTTTTGCAATTGGACGTTTGTCGATCGGCTGTTAAGATTTTTGAATATCTTAACGGCGTCAAGAGGAGTTAACAGCAGCGCTCCAAGCCGTCACGACGCACATTTTGATAAAGACTGGTTTAACCTATGCAATATTTTTTTTTTATTTGTACTAATTCTGATTGTCACTTTCATAACATGTTTTTCTTTCTATTTCATATTTCTGGTCCTTTTTCCCGCCTTTTAGGTAAGTGTTCTATTTATTTTTCTTCTCTATTCATAGCCTTCTTTGATAAATACGTTTTCGCTAAATATTATTTTAAAACCAATATGTTCTAGGTTTGGTTTTACGTACGTACATCCATAACTTTCTTCTTCTATGTATGTACCGTGTCCCTTCAGGATGTGGGTGATCACAGCTCATCACAACTTCCTGATGCTTGTAGATCTAAAAATGTTCATCTTCTTACTCTCCGTCCCAGCCTATGTTCTGTCATTCATTTACACAAGCCCATCTGCAGTCAACCCCACTCTTCCTGGAATGTTCTTTGAGTTTTAAATCTAAAACTTCGTTCCTCATTACGTTTACCAGAACAAACTGATTTTACTTATAACTTTCTTTGTTGTTTGTAATTTTCTTAAGACTTTCTTATTATTTACACGATTAACATCATTCAGACTGTTGTGCTCATCTTTATTACCATATTCACAACGTTTCGGCCGTTGAACGCTCCGACCTTCTTCAAATGATATACGTCGGAATTTCGAACTAAACCCCCGGGATAGATTGTTCTAATGCCACGTGACATGCCTCTTTTTTTTCTTTTTCATTTTTTTTTGTTTTGGATAATTCAGTTTCTGTTAATTCCCTTTAGTAACTCAGCTCTCCTAGTTTGGTTCATCTCTGCTGTGGCTAGAACTCACAACTCTTTAGGTCATGTCATTGAATTACTTCAACCAAGGTTTTTTTTTTTATCCACTGGGCCACGTCGTGAATAAAACAATAAAGATGAGGATAATAGTCCGAACAATGTCAAGCGTGTAAATAGTTACCTCATCTCAAAAACATTGACATATATCTTCCGGTATTTTTATTTATTTATTTATTTTGTACAGTAAGGTTTACCCTGCACAAGGCCCGGGAGCCACTCGAAATAGAGGCTTACATTAAGAGGCAGTTTATATGGACAAGAGAGGAAGATAATAGTTAACTCTAGACTTGAACAGGTTAAGATGGTAGAGATCGGGGAAACATCTTCTTGGGAGTCAGTTCCACAGGGCAGTGGTTTAGCAGGAAAAAGCTGCTCGAATGAAACTTACTTCTCGCCGATAGAATACAATGTGAATGTGGGTGGGGTTTGCTACTATGTAAGTGTCATGGCGGGTCCTAGCCGTGAAGGATAGACCTGGCGGAACCAAGACATGTAATTCATCCGAGCACTTTCCATGGCAGTAGAGATAAATCAATGACAAATTCAGTATACTCCATGTTCCCCCTGTTCTGGCTCTTATAAAAGTAGAGGGTAACATGATGAATGAAGTACTTATTGGAGCGATAGGAGTCGATCTGCATCTTTAGCGATGGACTGTATATAAGAGTGTCATTCGAGATCGGGTGTGCGTTTGAGGTTCAATCTTATCCCCAGGCAAGGAGAGTCCTTGAGGGGACATCCGTTAATCGTGACTGGTGGTATTTCGGGGTTTGATCGACTGTAATGGAATGCAACCAGTGACTACTGTGCCGCATTTTATTATTTCCATAGGTACCTTTGAACTCTTTCTATAAGTACGTTTTCCATAGGTACCTTTTTACTCTTTCCATAGGTAACTTTTTCACTCTTTCCATAGGTACCTTTTTTACTCATTCCATGGGTATCTTTTTTTTTCTTTCCAAGTTTATCTTTCTTTTTCTGTGTCGCATATTTTTTCTTGCTTATTTTGTTTCATTCAACGTTTTCAGTTTTCCTCTCTCTTCGTGGTTCCGTCCATATTTCTCGCCATTATCGTTTTTTATGTGTTGCCTTTGAGTTATTTCCTTTTGTTACTGCCATTTCCTTTCCTTTCCTCTGTTATCGCACCATACGCGGCTGTAATTATAGCTGCCAATTTGCTATTTATAATTCTTCCGTTATTCCACAAAGCCTGGAACCTGTTCCTGATTTCGAACTGAAATTTGATGTTCTCTTTGATTTGATTAGAACGTTTTCTTTCCCAAGTTTATTTTGTCTTAACCATAAAGTTAAATTTGATTCTGCGGGAGACCATTCTGTGATCACATTTTGTACTATTTTTATTTATGGCTGTTACATCATTAAAGATATTTGTTTAGCAATTATGAAGTCAATTTTCAATTTTTTTTATCTTTTGGACTTTTCCAAGTGAATATGAGTGTAAGGGAATGTGTTTCCATTGAATCCGCACATAGATAGATCGATATGAACATAGATAGATATTTCTGAACGGAGATAGCTAGAATAGGAACAGAGATAGATAGATAGATAGATAGATAGATAGATAGATAGATAGATAGATAGATAGATAGATAGATAGATAGATAGATATTTCTGAACGGAGATAGCTAGAATATGAACAGAGATAGATAGATAGATAGATAGATAGATAGATAGATAGATAGATAGATAGATAGATAGATAGATAGATATTTCTGAACGGAGATAGCTAGAATATGAACAGAGATAGATAGATAGATAGATAGATAGATAAGTAAGTAAGTAATACGCACACACACACACAAGGAAAATTTGATTCTGGTTTTCCTAAGAGAAAATGTTGCCCTTCAAAGCGTGTTGCAGCAATTGTGAAAAGTAATAATTGGTTAGTCCAAGGTCAATTAAATATTGGTTGGTCCAAGTTCAATTAAATATTGGTTGGTCCAAAGTCAATTAAATATTGGTTGGTCCAAGGTCAATTAAATATGGCAGATAGAACAGAACAAATGAAACGAGTTGCTAAATTTGTTATGGGAAAGAACAAGTTTTTTTTTCCATTTTTAAGAAGGTAAGATTTCTTTTTTCGAATGTTAGTCGTAATTATTATTGGTGAGTACGGTCCTCATAGGCTGTGCCATAAGTTAATCACAGTGAATCCATGGTTATCTCACTATTGCTGGTAAACAACCACCAGAAGCTTAGCTACTTTCATGAGTTAAATCCTCACTTGTGACCTTGTACCAGTCATACTTTAATAAATATATTTTGATTTAGGCTTCAGGATACGATTTTTCTATTATCTCATTCAAATATCAAGAAATGTTGGGCACCTCGGTGTGTGTCAATACTTTGAGCTCCTGACCACTTTACCGGTGGGAGAGAAAAATGACGTAAAGCCCAGTCACCGGTTGAACAGTGGTAGAGAAAAATGGCTCAATGCCCAGCCAAGCCACCGGCTGAACGGTGGGTAAACACTATTTTTTTTATATCTACCGTGAAACATTACATACCAATTATTTGCGAATTTTGACTCAGGAGCTCAGGCAGAAAATTGTTCAGAAACGCAGGGCTCAAATTGTTAGCAATATAACCTGATTGCCCATTACTTCTGTGGGGTGATGTCTGGTCTCTTTAGATGACCCATATCGATGATCTTGTGTCAAACAAATCTACTATTAATAAAGGATTTTTGATGCCTGTGGAATTGATTAGCGTCCTAGTAGAGACCACTGTGTAGTGAGTTTCATCCTCACTGGGTGACACAGACTTAGGATCTTGTGGAAAAATTATTAAGTATTTTCGCGCCAATCACCGTAAAATAATGGTTAGCAAACTAGTCTGGTTGATCCTCACCGGACGCTCGATAATTATAACCTTGTGCCGCTCTTATTAAATATTTTGGCACTCTTCAGTTTAGGGTTATATTTATCGAGCTCGTCTAAAGCATTGTTACCAGTGAGTCACGAGATCTATCCTCTGTGGCTTTCCCATAATAATTACCTCTGTAAAATCGTAATAAATATTTGGGGGAGGTTTTTACTTGGAGCACTAGAATTCACGTGAATTCAATTCTCAGGGAGTATCTCAGGTTCATGACCTCTTGAAAAATTTTAGTATTTTGAGATGCTAATATGCGATATTTAGCGAACGGGACTAGTTGATTTTTACTACTGTATCATGGGTTTAATTCTGAATATTTGTGGCCTTGTGCCAAACTAAAGTGTATATAACTGTAGGAACTGGTAACTCCTGAGAATCCGTAGACACTGCCAATTATTACAATTTTGATTTTACAATATCATCTTTCGAAATCGAATGTCGATTCTCTCATGTTACACATTAGCTGTAAGAGACCATCTTCAGAATAAGAAAAAAATGATTGATTTCCATAAAAGACATGTTGGCATCATCGAATTTTTCTATTTCTTTCTTTTATTTTATTTTTCAATCATCGCATTTTTTACGACTGCCTCTCTCGTGTATATTTGAGTTAGATACATACGGACAGAATTTCATTCTGGTCTCCTGTACAGTATTAATAGATTCGCAATTTGTTAATGGACATATCTTTTACGTAGTAAAAGGTTTCGTTAGATTTTTTTTCTTGTTTACATTTAATACCGTCGCTTCACTTTCATTTTCTCTCAGACGCAAATGTTTTACGCTCGACTTGTTCTTTAAAGCACCACGCCTGTAGCAATTGTCATCAAATCTGCGTCTGAAATTGTGAGGGTAATTTCAAATAGATCCAACTGTATGTAAAATCCTCACACAACTAGAATGACAGTAGTTTTATTTAATCATTTCACCCGATAAAGGCAACAAAGCCACTAACATTCAGGAAGTTAATGAGTGGGAATGTTGTCCTGAGTATGACGATAAACTACATCTGGCAGCAAGACCACTGATCGAGAGATTGGAGATTTTGATGAGCATGGAACCACCTCTTAATTACTGTTGTTCGTAGGTCCGCCCTGGTTCCGGGTGGTAGCACCTATTAGGGTGCCATCTATAAGCAAGTAGTGAAAATAAAAGCAAAAATCAGTACATTTTTATAATGAAATGAGCATTTGTATAGCAAAATGACAATTAATCTAGTACTAAAAAATCTAAAAATATATTGTTTTAGTAAAACTATCAATAATACAGTTTATGATTTACAGCCGAAAAATATAAAATTATATAAAAAATATAGTAGGTTGAAGCAATATAATTGCATTCAACATATTTAGATTTCGACATTAATCCATCGAGGTTGATATACCGCTAAACAAAATCAACTGAGTGTGAAGGAATATAAGGAAAACGTTATTAAGGAGCAAGACCAATAAAAGAACAGAAATTAAGGCAAACGATAACGATTGACATTGCATTTTAATATTTGAAGATCAAACTTGACTGGAAAAAGGCCGAAAAAGAGTTTCACAAGTGAGAAGTGAAAGGAAAGAAACTGTTATAATTGAACTTAGTGTTACACTACTTCAAAGCTAAAATGTTGAGACCTAGCCGCCAATCTAGTATTTAGAGTCTCGGTATCACACAGGAAAGTTCAACCGAAGAATTACCATGAAAGTATTTATTTTTTAAAGCACACGAAAGGTACATTACAGCGATGGGAAACTAAGTGAAACCGGGATGCCAGCTTAGGACCACTAACATTGCAGATTCTTCTTTGGCTTTTATCACGGATATCTAAATATATAGCAGTAACACCAGACCATATACGGCAGTAATATTCTAAACATGAACGAATGGTAGGCTTATAAACATGTAAGATAGATTTAGTAGAGAAAAACAGTGTAGGACGACACAGCAGACTTTCTATTTTTTTTAAGCGTTTCACCCCAAGCAAGGCGGGAAGCCACTAGGACGCAAAGGCTTACAGGAGATTTGGAGCAAGATCAGATAAGAGTGATAGAGGAAAGGATGAGAAGAAGGATAGTGGATAGATCAAGGCAACTGGAGATGTCGATTGATATTACATTTGAATAGTTGGAGAATTTTCTTAGTTCTCATGGAAACAGGAATAGGGAAGGGAGTTCCACAGACGAGAGGTGCGAGATATGAAGCTATTAAAGTACAAGAGACGGCTACATTTAATAGTTTCAACAGTGAAAGGGTGCGAGCGGGATGCCAGCCTCGTAGGGCGCATGAATTCATGAAGTCTGGGAACCAGCGAATGCAGCTCCTCAGAGCAATTACCATGAAAGTATTTGTAAAAAAAGACAGAGGGAGTCAACGGCACGTCTGTGAGAGAGCGACTGTAGACGAGAGGGCCAATTATATTGCATATCCGCCTCTGGATCTTATCAAGAACCCCGAAATTAATTTAATATGATCTTTTCACTCAACGGAAAACATTGATCCGAGAAGGCGCAACAATCATTCTCCTGGAAGTTTATCATTAGCCACGCTGATCATAGGCAGAAAGGGTTCTATAAACGATTAATAGAGGGCAGGTTTGTTTTGAAAGCGTTAAAATAAACAAACCCTTCCTTGTCCCAGTTAACGAGAGAATATAGTATAATTCTGAATTGTAAATCCATTCAAGGGCACGTGCTTAGTAAATAACTATATCGGAATGATCTAATTTTGTTTGAGATAGTTGCCAGTTTCTTACAAAGGACAGTAGTTGAGTAGCTACGTCGTCTTTGCAAATCTGGCAGACCATAGTATTTTTACACCACTTTCCACTGTTTAGTCAACTACTATACTTTCCGTTATTTTCAATGCTCTTTCCCTTCAAAACGTAAGCAATCATTCATCCCCACAGATTCGTTTACTTTATGATCTACTGCGATATCTTCATGCGAAATCTGTTTTCCCGTAGCTCCCTTGACCCATGAATGACGTTGACTCCCAATTCTCATTCGTGCCGGTCAGAGCTAAACACTGGGGAAAGGCCTGCTGGAAGTCCAATGCAACGAAATATAAAAATAAACGCCGCGATGCAAAACGGTAACTCGAACCCTGTTACTCATATATTTAGTCTTTTTTTTTTTTTTTTTTTAACTCCAGGGCTTCACTTGCTCGACCTGGCCGGTCGGGTAGGTAACTCTTAAGACATCAACTACCGTGTCGAACTAACAAATCAATTCTTCCCTTTGACTCTTCCTCCTACCAAGTTTCTGCCCATGTCGACATCACGATGTGTGGCTGATAGCTCGAACTGGCGGCATCCAAACTGCCCGAGAGCCAATCTGTCTTCCCCCCCCCGGACCAGAATTGGCTACTTTAATCCCAGCCATGACTGTTAATATAGACCAGCAACCGGAAATCGTCAATACCCCGTTTTGTTGACGTTTAACCGTTTAAATGTTTTCATTTATTATTTTTAATTTAATGTATTTTTTTTCTTTTTGGTGGGTTGTGGTTTCCTTTCGGTTAAGTGGATGCCATTTAGAAGACCCAACTTCATAAAAAACGAAACTGTCGTGGAGTTATTTCGCAGTGAAGGCTTGTATTTGTACTAAATCGGTCCTAAAATAGGTTCGACGTACAAAACGTTAGGAACTTGAAATAATAGGTATTACGCAGAGTAATCTTGTTGTGGTCGCTGACTACTTTCGTATTCGACTAACTGTCGACTACTGACATCGACTAGTATCATGTGGCACAAGGCCGGTTTAACGTGGGATCTCCGAGCCCGTGGGATCTCCTAGCCCGTGGGCTCGGCCAAAAATATACCCTTTGAACCCGTATAAACGGGTTCAGGGTCGGTTTACCTCCCCGAATGAGACTCTGCCCTTTGGCGTAGCTTCATTCGGGTTCCTCCCCGCCCGAAGGCAGAGAGTTCAACCGTTCAGCCGGTCGTCCGACATCGACTGACCCTCGTTTCTCTTACTACTCCTACTTATATTAGGTGGGAGAGTCTATTAGCTATAGAATAGGTATATTTCACCATAACAGAAACACTAGCGATCACGATAAAATCACACACCATCCCTCGCTATATGGGTATCCAATCAAATATCGAACTCCATTAGACATAGGAACGCAACATATATTGCTGTCATAGCATCAATGGATGTATGAAAACGTGACGGAGTATATTCCTCTAGACTGTTTGCCCTCCCGAGGCTAATAATCTCCGACTGCCCTGTTATTTTCGCATATGAATGGCAGAACAAGAGAAATAACAAAAAGACAAACATGATAAAGAACTACAAAAACAAATGAAAATTGCAGATATCTATGATGGCCTACGTCCCGAAGCAGAGCGGCAATTAGAAAAAGAAGAAGACTGGATATCATCCAAAGCTAGAGAGCCCAATTTATCCTACTATTTAACTCATAGATGACGAGAATAGAGATTGATTTATATTTTTCACGAGGAAATTAACACGAAATGAAATCAACAGCGGAGGCTGGAATTTAAACACAGTTCGCCGATGAGCAACTCCTGGTGCCTTATTACTAAATATAGAATAACTTTGATTATGAATCTCGATTTGAATTCCCTTCCACTTGATTTTTGTCCCGTGTTAAGTATGCTTTAGTGATTATCAAAAATCCAAAATGTCGAATACTGATGTTTAAAGCTTTCTAATCTTGGATATCTGACACGCCAAATACTTTGTCATTTCATTTTGATTCCCTTTAAGTGGTTATTAGCCAGTAATCTCAGCTTGCTAAGATTTAACAATTTTCCAACGGTGATTTGCAAACCAGACAAACCTTGCAAACTTGCTGAATCAATGAATTACATTTTATCGTATCGAGTCGGACTTATTTATTCTTAGTAATTTGGAATTGTGAGTAACGTAATGTTTATCAGCGGAGTGTGAAATCGGCGGACCGGGTTCAAATTCTTATAGAGTTTGTTTCGTTCATTTTATAAAAGGGAGGAATCTATTTTGCTCTCTAACCACCGTTGCATACATGAAATATTAGAAACCTGTCAATATAAAACAGTAACCTTAGCCTGACTTCCTGGCTATGTAGGCATTAATGGAAATCAAAAAGCTGGTGCACTGGCAGAAGCAGACAACTGAAATGACAAGACAAACATCAGATTCCCATATACAGATTACAAAAAAAGGATCACGTAATAAGTTAAAAGAAAAATGTGAAACAATTTGGGATATGTTTTCAAACAACAAACTGTACGAACATCAGTCGACAGTCAGACTGGCAGAGAACCATTATTTGATCAAAGACAGGATATAGAGCTAAGCAGAGTCCGAATTGGATATCACACACACACTTGCACAAAGCAGAAACTGCACCGAGGTGCATCTCTTGTGATCAATTGCTCATTGTTATGCATATCCTAATAAACTGCAAAATATACAAAAAAAAAGGCGCAACTAATACTATGATGTAAAAAATCTTACCATGCTTTTCAAAAATGCATCTGTTTCCCAAATAAGATTGGAGCAGGTTTAGGGTTTGCTCAGCGATGATGAAATGTTACGAGATTAGTTTGGGATGTTTTGAAGGATTTTCCCTACTGTTAGGTCAAAGGACAAAGTATCTGTTTCACAAATAATAGGCTGCTTCTAACACAATACATCGAATGATCTATAAAATATATCTCTAAAAAATACATTTACTCTGAAAGTATAAAATTTCATCTGGAGTTGAAGCCATAAATTTGCTTATAACATATTTTTATTTCTGCATCGAGTGTCCCATTGAGGTTGTCGAGCCGCTGAATGAAATTAACCAACCGACCATTTCGGTATTAATGTGGTTGACATGCCGGTAAAATAATCAATCAATCAACCAATCGTTACTCCCTCTATGAGTTCAAGTAGCAAGGCAGAAATTGAATATTTTGCCTTAGGTAGCAGTTCGGGGGAAATAAAACTTTATATTGAAGTAAATAATAAGGGTTATTTAGCTCATTAATAATAGCAAAGTAACCAGTCTAGAAGAAAGAAAATTGAAATTCAGTACTACCTG